CCTGGCTCCTGGCTTCAGATCGGCCCAGCTCCGGCCATTTGCAGAGTGAACCAGCGGATGGAAGATCTCTCCCTTGGTCTCTCCCTCTCTCAGTCTGTAATTCTGCCTCTTAAATAAAGAAATCTTTAGAAAAAAAAAAAAAAAACCCACAGGTTGCCATGCTGCCACCATCATGGTTTCTGATTCAATAGGTCTTATGCTGCTGGTCCTGGACCACAGGTTAAGAATCACTGCCCCAGCTGACTGCTTCCTCCTGCTCCTGCCTCCGCCCCAACGCTCACGGTGACCTCACTGGGACTGCGTGTGCCTCTGCCTATGGCTCTTCTCCTGCTGGAAAGCTGGCTCGGGGCAAGGGACATTGATTTTCATCCACGTGCCAGAGCCTAGATTCGATAAATATTTACAAAGCAAATGACTGTGTGGAGTGAATCGAATAGGGGTGTATTTACAAACCAGACAGAAGAGGAGCTACGCACCGATGATAAACTGCAAGCATTCGCAGCAGCTAAAGGACATGCAAAAGCCAGGTGGGAACAGAGCAACATGTAAGTGGTGGCTCTGGACAGACCCGAGCTCTGCAGCCCAGACTGGAGTTTCCAGTCCTGCCTGGACACGGGAGGCAGGAGCGCGAGGCTCACGTGTGTCAAGGGCGATGTGCGGACCTCAGAAGCTGTCAACAGCGCCCATCCTTTCACACATCTTTCAGTCTCGGGGTCTGGAAAACGTAGACCTGGGGGGGTTGATTCCTTCCCCCTTTCCACCTCTCACCTCCTGGTGCAAGAAAAGAAGCCATGGTGGGACTGGCGCTGTGGCATAGCAGGTAAAGCAGCCGCCTGCAGTGCTGGCATCCCTTATGGGTGCTGGTTCTAGTCCCGGCTGCTCCACTTCCAATCTGGCTCCCTGCTATGTCCTGGGAAAGCAGTAGAAGATGGCCCAAGTCCTTGGGGCCCTGCACCCATGTGGGAGACTCAGAAGAAGCTCCTGGCTCCTGGCTTTGGATCGGCCCAGTTCTGGCCATTGTAGCCATTTGGGGAGTGAATCAGTGAACCAGTGGATGGAAGCCCTCTCTCTCTCTCTCTCTCTCTGCCTCTCTGTAATTCTGCCTTTCAAATAAATAAATGAATACTATAAAAAAAAGAACATAACGTACAATTTCTTGAAGAACTGCAAGCCTTAAACAAAAATGATTTTACATTACTCCAGACATAACCCTTTTAGTGTAAAATAGGAGGGGGCTTAGGAGACACGGGTCACTCACTGATACCCAGGAAATCAAGCCGGAGAATAAGCGGCTGCATTTAATATTAACACTATTTCCTAAGATGTGGTTAATCTGAAATGTTTCATAATGACAACTAAATGAACAAACACAACACTGGGTTAGTTTTTTCCAGTTTGGCCTGTCCCACTGCCAGGCAGACTGAGACGGTCCCCAGCTCCCACGGCCTGGGAATGAGCACAGCGCAGTGCTGAGTCCTCCCGCGACACCAACAGCTCCTCGGGCTTAGGGCCCCTGTCTTCCGCTCCGGGCACAGCCTCCAAGCCCAGGCTCTGCCATTCCCCTTCTGATGACCCCGGAAGGTTACTTAGTCTCCACAGGACCCAGTGTAATAAGCCATGAAGGGGCCGGGCAGTGGGTTAACACTCTGGCCTGAAGCAACAGCATCCCATATGGGCACCGGTTCCTGGAAGAAGCTCCTGGCTCCTGGCTTCAGATTGGCGCAGCTCCAGCTGTTGCGGCCAACTGGGGAGTGAACCAGTGGATGGAAGACTCTCTCTCTCTCTCTCTCTCTGCCTCTCCTCTCTCTGTGTAACTCTTTCAAATAAATAAATAAATCTTTAAAAAAAATAAGCCATGAAATAAGGCTAATATGGTGTGTGTGTGTGAATACTTCCAAAAGCTCATGGGAAAATAAAATTTTAAAAATAAGTCTATTTTGATACAAAAAAAATTGGAATCCAGACCTAGTTTTTTCATAATAAGTATTTTCCTTGAAGATCCAAGTGAATTTCTGCAGAAGACCCTGTGTGTTCCGACACCTGATCATCACCCTCCAGGGAGCCCCCCCCCCCAACATCTGCTCAGCCACCGTGATCTCTCAGTTCCCACAAAGCCTCACGTGGTCAAGGTCTTTCCAGCCTCAAGGCCTTTGTCGCCTGGCGCCTGCCTCCCCTCCACAGCCCTTATCATCAGAAAGCCAGCTCCTTCCAAGCTTCCAAGTGTCAGTCCCGGCGCCACCTGGGTGGAGATCGCTGTCTCCCACGGCCTCCACATTCTATCCCGGGTCCCCGCTCATCGTCCATTCAGCAACGTGCCTGAGAACCTACCTACCACGTGCCAGGCACTGTGGCACATTCTGCAGCCCCAACACACACTGATGGGGTGTACAATCTAGTAGGGGGAAACAGACAAGCAACAGATGTTACCTGGCATGGAAAATAATAATAATAATAATAATAATAATGTTACACAAGGAGGAATGGGAGTTGCTTAGGGGACTGTGGTTTTGTCTGTGGGCCAGCGGGGGCTCAGTGAGAACCCTGCACGGTGTAAAGAGGTGGAGAGGATGAGAAGGGAGCAGAGATGGCGGGCGGGGGGGCCCAGCACAGGAAGTCCAGGGGCCCTGGGGCAGCAAGACAGGCAGCCAGTCCGGCTGTGGATGCGCGAGTCGGGAGTGCAGCAGTGGCTGAGACAGGAGGCTTTACTAGGTCTCTGCCTTCCATTCACAGGGAGCCGGAGAGGCCGCACAGAAAACTCATGTGATGTGGTCTTCAAATGTGCAATCACGAAGTGCGTGTTGGGCCTGAACAGTTAACACACCCGCATCCCACATTCGAGAGTGGCTGGTTCAAGTCCTGGCTCCTCCTAATGCAGGCCCTGGGAGGCAGCAGTGATGGCTCAAGTCCTTGGGTCCCTGTCACCCACATGGGAGGCCTGGACCCAGCCACGGTCACTGCGGGCATTTGGGGAGTGTGAACTGGTATCTGGGAGCTCACTCGCTCTCTGCCTCTCAAATTGAAAAAGAAAAAACTGTGATGGTTTTAAAAGGAAACTCCACTTTCTCCCTCTCTTCCCCTTAGATAAGGGCAGCTGCCTCGGGCACCCTATAACCCAGCACCCAGCACAGTACACGGTTAGGTATTCAATAAACAACGACAAATAAACTAAACAACCTATGTCAAGTGTTTACTGTTCTATAAATGGCACCCACTACGACCCAGACACCCAGAGTCAAACAGAGTGGCTGGCCTATGGTAGGAGCTTGCTGGAGGAAACGAAGGAATAATTTTTGTGAAATTATGGAAAACCTGAATTGACAACATACGCAGAGTAATGGCAAATGAACAAATCGCCTTTCACCCTTTGCCTTCACTTAGGAAAATGGGTCTGACTTGGTTTTTGGATTTTACATTAAACTCTCAGCCTAGGTTACTGAGGACAGTAGAATAATCCCCTTGTGGCTGGGTTCTTAGAACACACTGCAGCAGCCCACAAGCCAGCCCAGATGGCTGAAATGCCAGCAACACGTCTGATGGGTAAACACCCACACCACCTTTTAAACACCGTGCATGCACAAGGCTACAAACAGGTTTGAGCTTGAATTTCCAACTCGAATAAAAGTCTCCTTAACCCCAACATGCGGACCAAGACTTACACATCTCCACTTGTCACTCATGGTTGAATCTAGAGGGTGAACCACAAAAAACCTCAATGAGGATTACACCTGTTCCCACGGTCCCCCCAAGTGGGAGGGGAGGGGGGTGGCCCGGTTGGGTCGAGGCTAGTCCGTCATTATTCCAGAAATAGCCTCTGGGAATCCCAACGATTTTCCAAAAAAGAAAACGAGAGACATGATGCATTAAAACACACAGACACAGCAGGTACGGCATTCCCTTGAGAGCCGAACCCGCGCTCTCCCGGAAGACCGTTCCCACGGCAGGTGCCTGGGTGCACGGTCAAGTCCTTTCTCCTGCCCCCAGTAACCACGATGGAACCGCCCCAGCATAGCCACAGCCAGCACAGCTGCGAGCGAGGCCTTCGGGGCTGGGGGAACTTGGAGAACAGAGACAGAAGTTGCATCCGATCAAACTTATAAAAGAGAGCTCAGTGCAGCGGCGCGGCTGGGGCGTCCCGGCCTAGCCCCGACTTGCCAGCGCTCGCACGCAGCCTTGCCCGCTGGCATCCGCCTCGGACGCCTCTTACAACAGGGAAATCACAACTTTGGGAAACAGGAGGCGCCCCCAGCACCTCTCAAACCTCCCCAACCGTGGCTTCCAGCCGCACTGGCTGCAAACAAAACAGCCAGGAAAACACCCCCAGGGAGGAGAAGGGGCCAACGTCAGACCCTCACGGCAACCGCACACAACAAAGACCCCAAACAATCAAGATGGCATTAGAATCCCGGCCGTCCCGGCGCTGCCCCTCCGGGGCCCGGGCCGGTGGGGGCCCCGCGCCCTCTGCAGCCCCCGTGCGCGCCGCCCACGATTCTGCAATCCGTGCGCCGCGGCTCCCCGCGTCCCTTCTCACGCGGGGAGCGTTCAAAATCTTTCCCGCCCAGGCGTGACCCGAAGGATGCAAACAATCAACCGCTTCCCCCGCCCCACCCCGCGCCCCGAGCGCCCGGGCCTGGGCCGGCGCCGGGGTGGGGGCGGCCGGGGCACCCGGGGGCCGAGCGCCGGGGTGCAGCCACCTTCCCGAGCCTGGGGGACCGGCGCGCAGGGACCCGGAGGTGACACAAAGAAGCCGGAGAGACAAACGCCACCCGCTGGCGCTCGCTGCAATCCCCGAAGCGCCCCGCCCGCTGACAAGTTTGCGGCGCCTTCCACGCACCCGGCTCTCCCCACCCGCGCAAAGTTTCCCGGGTGGCCTGGCTCGGACCCGGGCGGCAGGTCGGTCCCGGGCACCCGCCGCCCCCGCCCCCAGGCTCGGGGACCTCCTCTCTCCCTCTCACTCCCTCCGGGGCGCACTGGGGGTGCTGGGGCCCCGCGGCCGCGCTCACCCGCCGTCCGCTCGGCCGAAGGGCGAGGGCGCGGGCCCGAGCTGTCCACGGTGGGCACCCCCGCTCGCCCCGCTCGCTCGATCGCGCCTCGGCGCCCGTGCCCCGGCTCGCTCTCGCAGTCCGGCCGCGGGCTCCGGGCGCGCTCCGCTCCTCGGCGCTCAGAGCTGCTGACCACGCCCCGCGCCTGCCCCGCCCGCCGCCCGCCGCCCAGTCCCGCGCTCGCCGCTCGGCGGCCAGTGTGGAGCGCGCCCGCCAGCGCCGGGGCGGAGCGGCCCGCCCCCCGCGGCAGGCCCCGCCGCCCGGGGCGGGCAACTTTCTTTCCGGGTTTGGGAACATCGCAGGTGGCTGCAGGGAGAGGCGGCCTAGCGGTCTCCCCGGGGCTGGGGGCGAAGGGCCCACACCCTCTCCCCTCCAAGGCCTTTCCGGCCGGTAGCGGCGAGGAACTTGGCCATGCGTGGACTCCGGGGTCTGGAGCGGACCTGCGAATTTGCCGCCAGGTCTCCACCCCCCTCCCCGGGCCGCGGCAGCCCCGGGAGCCCTTTCTGCGGGGAGGTGCGTGGATTCAGAATCCGAGGCCGAGTTTCTCCGCGCGCGGTGCCGACCCGCGGCCACCTGCCGGGGCGGGGGGGGGGGGGGGGGAGTGGCGGAGACGCGGGCTAACAATGAGGGTTGCGGGTCCCTCCCTCCCCGGGGCGAGGGGCGGAACCGGCCTGGATCCCGGGACGCCGATCTCCCAGGGCTGCGAACGAGCCGGATCCTGGATCCCGGGGGATCCGCCGGCAGGTGCAGTTTGATTTCCAGCAAGTTACTCGGCCCCTCTGGACTCGGGCTGAGGTCACTGACTGCCCCTCAGCCCCGGCGCCGCCGCTGCCGGTTCCTAAAGCGCTCGGGATTCCTGAAGCGAAGGTGCATACCTCACTGCTACTACACAAAGAAGCGGGGACTTGTCAAGTGTTGCCCTACGCAATCAAATTTAACTTCCTGTGAGTCCGAATCTGTGTATTTCGTGTAGCTTCAGGCTCTTGCCTTGGCTGAAAGTGACCCAAACTAAACGGTGAGCAGCGAGATGAGAGGCTGGATAGCGCATCCTCCATCAGCATCTGTTAGTGGAAAATTTGAGTTGTGATTTGAACCCACACTGTGGGACGGTTATTTCAAAAACGTGTGCTTCCGCGGCTGCCAGGCTGATTCCAGGGAGTCGTGTGAAATGCGTTCGTGGCGGCTGGTAGTCCAGCCCTTCGCAAAGCAGCAGGAGCAAGCTGCATGCCATTCCTCCTACGCCTAGACCATCGTTCTGATAATGTCACTTCCCTTCTCACACTGCCAAGGCTCGCATTATTGATGAATAAGGGCTTGAGTCACAACAAAGCTCCATAAAGCAACAGGAGCCTTCTGGGTCTGGGGCATCTTTTTTTTTTTTTAAGAAAGCTTTTATTTAATAAATATAAGCTTCATAGGTACAGCTTTTGGATTATGGTGGTTCTTTCCCCCCATACCTGCCCTCCCACCCCAACTCCCATCCTACCTCCTACTCCCTCTCCCATCCCATTCTTCATTAAGATTCATTTTAAATTATCTTTATACACAGAAGATCAACTCTATACTAAGTAAAGATTTCAACGGTTGCACCCAAAGTATAAAGTACTGTTTGAAAACTAGTTTTGCCGTTAATTCTCATAATACAACTCATTAAGGACAGAGGTCCTACATGGGGAGCAAGTGCACAGTAACTCCTGTTGTTGATTTAACAATTGACACTCTTATTTATGACGTCAGTGATCACCCAAGGCTCTTGTCATGAGCTACCAAGGCTATGGAAGCCTTTGAGTCCACAAACCCCAACATTATTTAGACAAGGCCATAAGCAAAGTGGAAGTTCTCTCCTCCCTTCAGAGAAAGGTACCTCCTTCTTTGATGGTCCCTTCTTTACACTGGGATCTCACGCACAGAGATCTTTCATGTAAGTCATTTTTTGCCACAGTGTCTTGGCTTTCCACGCCTGAAATGCTCTCATGGGCTTTTTAGCCAGATCTGAATGCCTTAAGGGCTGATTCTGAGGCCAGAGTGCTGTTAAGGGCCTTTGTCATTCTATGAGTTGCTGTGTATCCCGCTTCCCATGTTGGCTCCTTCTCTCCTTTTTAATTATATTATTATTAGCAGACACTGGTCTTATTTATATGATCCCTTTGACACTTAACCCTATCTTTATGATCAGTTATGCACTTACACTGATCACTTTAACAGGTAAGGTGGCATTAGTACCTGTGGGGCATCTTTTGCACTTTGCCTGATGGGATCCACAATCAGAACGTCAAGTTCAGGAGCGGTTGGACCCCGTATTCATGGCACGATGCGCAAAGTGTTGTCTGCTGTGTTTCTTCTCTGCTCTCGTATTCGTTTCCATTCCTTGCCTATTGGCTATCTTTACAGTAAATTCTCAAATAAATAAACACACCATGGTGGCACCAGTCTCTGGGAAAAGTGTCATCAGTAATTCCCTAATTGTTCCCTCCCTGGCACCGATGCTACCAGCCCTGCAGTGTTGTTTCATGCTGTGTGCAGTTCAGTTGGAAGAGCACGGATAGAATGGCTCAGAATGTTCTCGGGTGTCTCCAATTAGAGCCTCTAATTACCTGCGGTGTCTCCTCATCGGGCCAGTTTGGATAGTAAATGAAGGCTTCCTTTCAAGTCAGCCAATTAGACTGATGGCAGCAGCGCTGAAACAGATCCTGCACACTTTGAAGGGAAAAGAGAATGCAGAGCTGAACAGGAACACGTCTGAGTCGTTTGGAAGCACGGCACCGGGCTGCTGTGCCTACAGACACACCTGGGAGAGAGGAAGAGCTTCGGGGGCCTGGCCACACCTACGTTCTCCGGGAGCGAATTGCGCAGACTCCATGCAATACCGGCACGAGGTCCCCGTGTGCCCCTGAGCTATCACTCACACAGCGGGCCTCTGCACTTTCGGCAGATGATCCATTGTGCACAACAGCGCACCTGAACCGCTTTGCCGGCTCCCGTTGTGGTAAACGCCAGTTTGGTGCGTCAATCAAACTGAAAACACATCTGGAACTTGGTGTCCAAGTATGCTGTGGCCCACAGGTGAGCACTAATGAGGTAGATGTTCTAATCGTAGTTGCATATGAGCATGAGGGAGCCAAGAGTTACTGACAAAAAGCGTGGCCACAGGGCCGGCATTTGTCCTAGCAGTTAAGACACCTTGCCCGGTATCGGAGCACTTGTGTTCAGTCCTTGGCTCTGGCTCCGGACTCCAGCTTCCTCCTAATACAGGTGCTGGGAGGCAGCGGTGACGGCTGAGTTCCTGCCACCCCATGTGGGAGACCTGGATTGCATTCCCAGCTCCTGGCTCTGGGCCCGGCCCAGCCATTGCAGGCATTAAGGGAAGTAAATCAGTGGGTGCAAGTATGTTCTCTCTCCCTCACCACCTGCCCCCACTTTCTCTCTTCCTCCCAATACATAAACACCTAAAAATAAGTAATTAAAAAAAAAAGCATGATCTGAGGATCTCAAGTTGAGTTCAGCATCCTCACACCATTTAGAGAATTAAATTCACTGCTCTTGAACTTGGACAGCAACCCCGGTCTCAGCACCGATCTCACAGAACTAGCGCTGTCTGGATTCCTGCAGCCCCCACTGGGCTGAGTACCTTGGTCTTCCTCTTTGCATACACCTCATGGTACCTACAACAAGAATGGCAATGGGCTTGCTACCAGGAGGTAATCGCAGTCTGTGCGTGGGTGCCAGGTTGAGAAAGGCTGTAGGGCTGCGTTTCATTTAGGCAAGAAGATTCCAAGTTGGGGCTGGCTCTGCGGTATAGCGGGTTAAGATGCCTCCTGCAGTGCCGGCATCCCATATGGGCGCCTGGTCAAGACTCGGCTGCTCCACTTTTGATCCAGCTCTCTACTATGGCCTGGGAAAGCAATAGAAGATGGCCTAAGTCCTTGGGCCCCTGCACTCTCATGGGAGACACAGAGGAAGCTGCTGGCTCCTGGCTTCAGATCAGCACAGCTTGGGTCATTGCAGCCAATTGGGGAGTGAACCAGCGGATGGAGGACCTCTCTCTCTCTCTCTCTCTCTCTCTCTGCCTCTCCTTCTCTCTCTGTGTAATTCTTTCAAATAAATCTTTAAAAAAAAAAAAAAGCAACTTAAAAAAAAAAAAAGAAGATTCCATGTCGATGAATGTTACCAGCCCTCTGACGTGGGCACCAAGGGGACAAAGTTGACACTAGTATCATGCATCTGCAACCCTCACGGAGGAAGGAGATAATGTCAAATGATATCCACATGCTTCAGGGATTTTTTTTTAAAGATCTACTTATCTGTTTGTTTTAAAGGCAGAGTGACAGAGAGAGGGAGATGCAGGGAGAAAGATCCTCCATTCACTAGTTCACTTGTGCAAATGTTTGCAACACCCAGCACGGAAGCTGGATCCAAATTATGGAGTAGCCAGGACTCTAACCAGCACTCCCGTAATTATGGAGCAGCCAGGACTCTAACCAGCACTCCCGTATTGGACGCAGGCACCCCAAGAGGCAGTTTAACCTGGTGCATTGGGATACTGGCCCCATCAGGGAATCTCAAAAGCAACACAGAACTATCTGTATGTGAACAGGTTTGTAAAATACTCTTTAATCTGAGACAGAGTGAGATCTTTGTGTTACCTGTATGAAATTGTATTATCCAATTTAATAACATTACTACTAAGACAAAAGAACACTGACGTGGAGCTAAATACTTGTTAGTACAAGATCTCTTTCCACCTCAGGGAACAATCTTGCATATACCCATATGTTACTATATATTATATATGTGTATATATTATATATGTGTGTACTATTATATATTATATATGTGTGTATTTATCACTTTAGGGGCATTTGTGTGGGCCTGGAATGAAGAGTTGGCCAGGAAAGCAGCTCTGTTCTTCGTTAAAGAGCCCTGTCGCCCCCAGTAGAGGCCTGAGCTCCTTATCTTACTCTGGTCCTGTTTCCGGCCAAACCAGGAAACTAACGGAAATCATGGCTGGCTGGTTGCCCCTTGCAGTGCGCTCTTTCCGACCACCGTCCTGATAGAAGCAGAAAACTGTGCCGCCAGATGCAAGCACGCACTGCCATGTGAAGTGGCAAGTCCAGCGTTCTAGAATTGAA